GGGCAGTCAGTGGGTTGCAAGTTCCAGAGGAAAGATCGCAAGTCACCTCTCTTCTCCCAAGATCATCAGGGAGAATGAATGAGAAAAGCCACCTAGTGTGAAAACGCTCTGGAAAAGGCCTAGAATGACCTTGTATTTAAAGGGACAGCTGGAGGTAGCTTGGCATCCCTCCATAGAGCCGTCTCTTTAGCAAGTGGACTTTCTGTACTTCTCTGTCCTTGTGGCACAGGTTACAAGTTAATCGAGGGACAAAGGAGAGAAAAGGAGGCCCAGCAGCTGTGCTGGCATCAAGTCTCTGCTTCTCTCCACGCTGTCCGGACCCAGGACTTCCCTCTGATGGCAAAACCCAGGAAGCTTCATCACAATCCCTTTCGGGCTCAGCTCTTCAGACATCTAGTGACAGATGCATTAGTCACCTGACAGCACTAGCCTAGAGCAGGAGTGTTCTCTAAATGTCACTCTGATAGGACCATCTCAAACTATCAGGGAATCAACTCAACGCTAAAAGGAGTGAGTGACCCGGTGTTTTCCATCCCAAATCTGAAGGGAGAAAGAAAGACTCAGAGAGGTACAGCTGGTATTTTTGTGATGCATTTTTGTTTCAAAGACAGAAATGTTCATCTGTATAAAACTTAGCATTCACCTAGCACCGCGGAAGAAAGATTATTAAAACGACTTTCCCAAAACTGTCAAGGTGACAGTGTGCTCTCATTTTGACGAAATACTCAACACATTCATGAATTCATTTCACCTGCAAAAATTCTATTCCATTGTAAAATTCATTCTCTCTTTTGCTTTAATTAAAAGCATTTTCTGGATTTTACTTGAGACTAAATTAGGTTTAACAGTAGACTGATTTTGTAATGGTCCAACTAACTGATATTTTGCTGAGGAAAGGATTGAAATTGGAAGCCAAGTGACATGCCAATGTTGTTGAAAGAAATGAAGTTACGTTCGCATTTGTGGCTTTCTCTAGAGTGACTCTGACCTGCACAAATGGCTTCATTTTCTTGGCATCCTGCAAGAAAGCAGGATGTGGGCTCAGATTTCCCAGGCTTCAAGAGAATAGGAAGGGACATGAGATGGACTCAGCACATCTTCCCTGTAAGTCTGCAGGTAAAGTCACATGCCAGATTTCAGTTTCTCTGCTTGTCCACTAATGTGGTATCTCACATCTTTTTAGCGTAACCTTTGAACTTGAAAGTCTCAGGAAAAAAGAGGAGATGCTTATTGCAGTCCTTGTAGTAAGCAAAAGAAAATAACAAAATGTGTTTGCACTGTAAAAAATTTTGTAAGATAATGAAATTCTGCCCACCACATCGTTTATTTTTTCAGTTTGCGTCCCAGCGGAGAAGTGACGGAATTGGAGGGATGCTGGCCTTGCATCTTCACTTCCGCTTCGGAAACCCCCCTCCGTTCTCGCTCCACTTTAGAGTGTGATTTAAATGAATTTTCCTTTTCTATTGTTTTCAGTTAACTTTTAAAAAGTCAGGTGGTGCAGGAGAATTGTCTGTATTCTGTCAATCATGTATTTTAATAAAACACTGATTGGCCAGGCAGGCAGTATAGGCGGGAAAGCCAGACAGGAAGTAGAGGTGGAGCAAAGAGACTGGGAGTATTCTGGGAAGCAGGAAGCTCCCTCCGCCATTCCTGCCCAGACCACTGAAGAGGCAACATGTGAGCTGTCATGCTGAGAAAGGTACTGAGTCGTGTGGCTAACATAGATAATGATAATGGATTAATATAAGCTACAAGGGTTAACAAGATGCCTGAGCTAATGGGCCAATCAGTTTATAATCTTGTGGAGTCTTGTGTGTGATTTTCTTTGTTGCTTGCCGGCTGTGGGGTACTGGGAGGGACAGAAACCCCAACAATCCGGCCCCTCACACTACAGTCAGGAAAGAGGGAATGTCAGACGTTTGAAAGAAAAGTCAGCTCCCCATTGAAGTCAGGACAGAGGCATTAGCAATCAAAAGGCAAATGGAGAACTCTAAAGCAATGGATACCACAGAAGAACACTGACCGCTCAGGAGGACCTGTGTCCATGCTGACAGGCTAAAAGTCAAGTGGAGAACCCTAAGTCTATGAACCCTAAGTCAGTGGACACCACAGAGGACACTTATTACTCAGGAGCCCTTGTGTCCACGCTGATAAGGCCATGTACACTAAAGCAAGTAAAAGCATAGCATTCCAGAAACAACCAAGACATTGCCGCCTTAAACCAAAAGATTTGGGGGAAACTCAGGTGCTGCAGAGAGACACAATTAGAAAGAAAAACAAAGAACCCCAAAAATACTTCTTAGAGGACTGTTTTTGAAGTGACTGCTTTGTCAAAGAGTGGGTATTTCTCCAGTGTAGTGAAAATTGAAGATGTCCTTTCAGATGTCCCCTAAGTCCCCATCTGAGCTTCCGGTCACCAGTCCTGTCAACAACAAGGGTGACATGCTAGACTACAAAACAGGACCCTCAGCTGTCTCCAGCCACTGTCTGTCAGCAGGAATAATCAAGCCACTGTGGAAAGCAGTTTAAAAATCTATTTTCAACTTTAAAAGAGGACAAACAAAAAAGAATGCTCTACAGTTCAAATTTTAGAAAACTAATACAGTAAATATAGTTTAATTGACCTTTAAGCATGTTTTCTTCTAAAGAATTAAAATATTTTCTGAAAAATGTACAACTAATTTGTAAAATCTCAGTGATTATTGCATGTAGGTTAGTTACGATGCTGTACAAACATTCGTTCGTGGCGTTACAGACAAGAGGAATGCAAGAGAACGATGCTTTGTTTCTATGCCAACACACATCATTTATAAAGGCTTTCTTACCATGATGCCTGTATGGAGCAAGATGTAATGCACGGTTTGAGTGACATCAGCTGCATGAACCAAATTATGATATGGATTTTTGTGCTTGTTGTAACCAACTTCTAAAGCTTCTACAAAGGCAATTAGGCAAGAAACAGGAATCTGTGGAAAGTAATATTTATGGTTACATTTTCATTTAAATTGTCATGCTACACAAACACGAGCATAGGGTTTAGAAACGGAGCAAATTGATAAGTCAAATATGGGCAGTAATTTCAAGTTCAGTGAGATTTGTCTTTTAAAAAAAACTCACATCATTGATATACTGGACTGCAATTTGAAAGCAAATTAAATAGCTCATACTATAGGGCTCTGAATTTTCATGTCTTCCACAGTCAAGAAAAAAAAGGCTAGTTCTTAAAAATATGAAATGCCCCAATATGAGCTGCAAGGTCTAGTTTTCCGCTGTTGGAGAAAACCGGTGGCTTTGCAGGTCTTTCTGGCCTTCTAGTGCCATGAACCCCGAGCAAATGGAAGTTAGGGCCTCAGATTGCTCGGAAGAGGCAGGGAGGGGAGCAGAGAAAAATGTAGAGCTCGGTAAAAATCAATTAAAAAAAAATCTATTGCTTAGATGCTTTCTAGGTCTAAGAAAAGCTCCCAGTAAGTTAGATGTGGTGATGGAATACTGAGATCCCAGAGCCGCCGTGGTGAATCAGTAAGACTGAGTGCTCGAGACTAACCTGTGCGACACGGCAAATTCAAAGCTACCTTGGGCTACATAGAAAGACCATGCCTCAAAATAAAGAAAAGAAGGGGTTTGTTGTGTAGTATAAGAGCCCTGGAAACAAAGGGGAAAAAAAGAACCCTGGAACCTATTGCTTTTCTTCAAGACATAGTTTCTGTCCAAATAGGATTCTGTGAAGAATTCAGGGCGTGCCTGTTGGGATAAACTTTCTGAGTCTCAGGGTGCACGCAGACGTTCAGGAAGTGGTGTTTTCATCAAAGGGGGAGCACAGACCCTCAACCTGTGACCTGCTAAATCAATCTAAAGCCTTTGACTCAGGGTTTGGGGCTGCTGTTCTTATTCAAATAACCAGTTCTCTGAGCATCTCACAGTTGAAGTTCCTGACCTTGAAGCGGTTGATAAGGTCGTATCTGGTAAACAGTTCATAAATCATAAACTTCAGACTGTGCTCGCTGCTCGTTTCATTTAAGGCAAATATGTCAAAAGACCATTTATCAACATCCTGTAGAAAAAGAGTCAATATTTTAGATGGCAATAGCGTAATCACACTGCTTCTCATGGAAAATTATTTAACAAATTAAGCATTGAACATACAACGAGTAACCCTGTAGTGGAATGTGTCAGACTGCTATTTGTCCTGTGTTAAATCCTTGAAAGTTAAGGTTTCTATTTGTAATTAATTAATTAATAAGTTCCTGTTTCTTGGACCTGATGTAAATTGCATTTCATATTTTTCATCCTACATTAAATTTGTAACCCCTTTCCTTTGGTGAACCTTTAGGTAAGGGTCCATTCCCTCTCATTGTATCTTCCTAACAATGTATGACAGTCGACTCTCTCGCCCCTGTGAACATTATCTCTTCTATAAAATGACCTCAAGTGTCTGGAAGGAGCTGCTCTCTGACATCCTGACCTAGGGAGAAAAAGTCAGACTGACCAGTCCTCGGTGCATGCTTTAATTAGACAACCATGGATTCAATCTTTCTCTTCAAAATTTCAGGTTTAAGAAAAGTAAGGCTAAATCTCTCAGTTAATATAAGAAAACCACCATAAGGTTGTTTCAGAAGACAGAGTTGAGTCCTTGAAATCATTAGAAGTTGGGGGGGGGGTACTTTAGAATGAATGAGTAGCCTGCAAGACTTTCCTGCAGGTCAAACAACTTGAGTAAGGTCCACCTGTGTAAAGTGGGGATGAGCGAGCCAGCACCTTCCTCAGGCAAATCCTCACTTCTAGTCATTCCCTGCACACACAACGTGTCAATCACATATGGGGTGTGGGTGGGACAGTTTCAAGAGAAGCCAGACACAAGACGAGAAAATTTTGGTTTTTGTTGGTTAGTTTCTTTATCAGTTTTATAATTTCTCAGACTTAAGATCTTGAATAATTTTCTTCTTTGTGTTTCGTTACACACACACACACACACACACACACACACACACACACACTGTTATGAGTCTGTAAGGACAAACAAGTCCAGGAGTATTAATAGGAAATATTAAGTGAAATGTTATGAGTTTGTAAGTACAAACAAGTCCTTGTTTGTTAAAATGCAATATTAAGTGACACACAAAATGAAACTAAAAAGCATGAAGCAATGTGTGCAGTGGTGATAAGAGTTTGAGCTGGTGAATAAGTGTGACGTAACTATATGATAAGCAGACATGTGTGTTAATCTAGAATTAAGAAAGTAAGTAGCCACAGAAAAGTATAAAAACTTGAGGCTCACGGCCAGAAGACATTCTCAAAATGACTTGCCAGACACACTGTCAGAAACAGTCATAGAGAATCCAACGAACCAGCAACTTGACAGCTGAGACCATCCAAGAGCCAGAGAACTAGCTCTTGCCTGCAGATCAAGACTTACTGACTTGCTGACTTGCTGATAGATCTTCCAAGAGCCAGAGAACTAGCTCTTGCCTGCGGATCAAGACTTGCTGATCCAGAGGTCTACGCTGAGAGCCACGGACCATTATCAGGTCGTATACACCAATGCCTCAGTAAGATAGGATAGAAGACCTTGCCTAGGACATAGGAACCCTTGCTGAATGTGTGATGTGATTGAATGTGTGATGTGATTGATTGGCTAGGATTGTTATAGGTTTGATGTTTACTTATATCTGCCATAGGAATAATTAGAGATTTAAATGATTGTTATAGTTTTGATGTTTGCCTACACCTGCTATAGTAACAACTGGAGATTTGACTATTGGCATAATAAACTTGTTCCTAGAACAAACACTGTGGTCATCCTGAGTATTTACTTGCAAACCTCTAAGTAAGGGCAGAATGCCTGCTCAGGAATAAGGCTCGCGACACACACACACTGAAATGCCTCTTTAAAACATAATGGAAGCATAAGAATATGTGTATATTCTCAAAATAATGCCATCTCCAAGTGGAGTTCAGGAGCCGAGTAAGTAAAGCTTGCAGGAACAGTTCATACATGCATGTGACCATGAAGGGTGTTGGTAGGCACTGACTGCTAGCATAAGTCACTCAGATGCCGTGGAACTCTAGGCTGAGTCAAAGCTTGGGCTGCTTTTCATTTAACAAATGCTTAAAAGAATTTTTGCATTGTAATATGTAGGTTGCAGCAAAGACCTGCTCTCTCTCATTTTCCTCCCAGCCGCGTGAGGGAAAAGAAAGGTCTGTGATTACTTTACAGAGGAAAGTGAGGGAAAATGCTTCACCTTGAGCGCTGTTATGACAGCTTCAGGATAGGACAGCCCGACCATGTGGTAGCTCTTCCTATACATCCTAGGAAAGAGGGGAAATTGCACCATTAGCATTCCTTCGCTCCACACCTTCAGCTGTGTTTCTCAAAAACCAAGGAAAGACAACTCTAGATCTCTTCCTGTGACAAAGGTGATAATAACAGCCATTGTTTCTCTGGGTGATGGGGCATGGGGGCATGGGGCGGGGTGGCTTTATCTACTCATAGGAACTCTGAGAAGTGATCTTGGTTTCTAGGAAAGGGCAGCTTTCCCTGAGCTTCATGTGATGACCAGGTCGACTGTACGTTGCATGTACAATGACACTCTTCACAGGTCACCCCATCTGTGACTGCAGAATATTCCTGTCTTGTGACCATTTGAATTCCAACAATTTAGATTAGAGGCTAAGTACCATGAACATGAGATTCATTTATTTATATTTATTTATTTCTGAATGGTTACTCTCAGTGGGAAAGAGCACCATCAGAATTTACACAGCTCTTTGTTAAGGATATTGTAAAAGGTTATATCAACAAAAATAACTCAAGACTGTTCAAATCATTGTCCAAAATTATTTAAGAAAGATTATTCTGAGAAAATATTCTCTCCGGTTCCATAATAATATCAACAGCAGTATACTCTGACTTATTTGTAACTTGTTTATTTCTGGTAGGATAGGAAGCTAACTGATGAAAATTGAATATCAGGTAGCATCTAGTCAAGAATGCTCTAACACAAATAAAAGCAACTGGCCTCTATCAGGAATGTGAACAATTTGTGACTATTCCCCATTGTACGGGAAAGACATAAACTGTCTCTTGCTTTATATATCCAACTGGCACACAAAAAAACTGTATTCCTTAGACTACATTGCTATGATGCCCCAGGAATATAAGGAAAACACTATAATTTGATTAAATATGACAGATGTGGTCAATATTAGTACAGGGAAAGCTAGGTGATGGTGGCGCACGCCTTTAATCCTGGCATTCAGGAGGCAGAGGCAGGTAGATCTCTGAGTTCAAGGCCAACCTGGTCTACAAAGGGAGTTCCTGGACAGCAAAGGCTGTACAGACAAACCGTGTCTTGGAAAAAAAATAGAGAGAGAAAGAGAAGGAGAGGAAGGAAGGAAGAGAGGAAGGGAGGGAGGGAGAGAGGGAGGAAAGAAGGAAACAGGTGGAAAATACTCTGCCATTTTTTAAGAATAAAAATTGTTGTGGACACTTTAAAGTATTTTTGAATCTGTGGTCTATGAATTGAAAATCCAGAAACATAATTTGAAAAATAATAGTAAAAATACAAGTAATTTATTGTGCTTTCTTTTTAAATAATGACTTCATGGGAGCTCAGAAATGAATTGTGTTTAATTTCTCAAAAGGGAGCCCCTCCTGCACCCGTCGGCACGGAAGCTTGACTCTTCCCTTTCCTGTTTCCGTTTCCAGTTTTCTTTAAGTCATCGTGGGATTTCACGTGGGTGATCAGCACAGCAGCAACCTTCTTACTGAAGCCTTCAGGAAGGTTTACAACAAAAGGCTTTGATTAATTACCCCCTGGAGCTAAGTATAATTACTCCAACTCTTAGGAGAGTACTAACCGCACAACAAAGGGTTCAGCAAGCCCTGACTGTTCATGAAGAAGACCCTTCCTTGTGGATTCTGAGGAAACAGGCTTTTTTAAAAAATTTTTTTGTTTTATTTATTATGCATATAGTATTCTGTCTGTGTGTATGCCTGAAGGCCAGAAGAGGACATCAGACCCCATTATAGATTGGGGGCTGGAGAGATGGCTCAGAGGTTAAAAGCATTGCCTGCTCTTCCAAAGGTCCTGAGTTCAATTCCCAGCAACCACATGGTGGAAACAGTCTTTATCTACCTATCTTTCCAAGGATTGTCCTGAAGAAAAGAGCGAGGGGTTGAGAAGGAGCAATGAACAGGGAAGTGATCAACACAATAAGGACCTTTAAAGCATTCAGTAGTATCGGATCAGTGTGATTTCCTGGCACAGGAGGGACGGGAGGCTGTGAAGGCTACAGAACCCAAGCCTTGAATCTTCAGTTAGCTGATTGGTAGCTATGCGGCATTTGGAACAATCTTTAATAGTTCATTTTTTAAAAGGAGAATCCCAAGCTTTCTGTGAAGACTAAAGAAATAAATGCTGGGTAAAATCTAGCACCGAGGTTCCTCGACTTGGAAATAGGCTTTGAATGTGAGCATCACTTACAACATGGAATGAAAAGAGGCAAGGATGATTGCCCTCTAAAAGCAAATTTAAAAATTTCCAAAATTTTTTAAAAAAAGTTCTCTATTATGTTAGCCCTCTGTCCTATCATCAGGGATAGAAATATAAAATTAAAAATTTTATATTAGAGCAAATAAAACAGAAAAGCAACACAACCGCTCCAGAAATGCAAGGGATTACAGACATCTTCACCAACGCCTTCCGTCTCATTAAACAAGTCATGTGCCATACATGCAGGAGAAAGACTAAGGAGTTTCCTGGAATCCAGTAGGAGGTAAAGCCCAAGTGAAACTCTCAGGGATTATTTTTGAAGGTTTCTCTAAAACTATGAGATATAACTCCAAGCCTTTAAAGAAACCAAGACACCACTTCTATTCTCATTGCTGTCCCAGGTAGCATCTGGACAAACAATTGCCTGCACCTGCTGAGTCTTGGGAGAGCGACTTTGTAGGAGAAGCAAGGAGACTTCTAGTTCCATATTGAAAGTAATTACTTTTGAAAAATACAAGATGAATAATGTCAATAATGGGTAATTGATATTGATAGATCAAGATTTTCCTTCTACACTCACCAAGCATGCTAATTTACAATAGTTAAACTTTTATTTTAGTTACCTTCTGCATGTTGTGAAATTTCTATTTAGAAAGGAAGCTTGATTTGTATGATATTTCATATGAAAAAAAAATAGAAACTTACCAGGTCCATGCATGAATCTGAATTCATAACCTTGTCTCAATGCATGCACATTCAGTTGGCTCTCATCCATACTTTGCTTTGCCTTTCAGTTTTCACGGCTTGCAAACTTTCTAACAAGGAAGATAACTTATATTCCCACAGCAAGCTAAGCATGGGGCTTCACCTGAGACTCTGTGCAACACTACTTAGATGTTTTTAATTTGATGCCATGGGAAATCAATAATTCTCACACAAAGGCACACTCTCCTCAGCCCAGCATGCTGGCTTCAGACTTCTGTCAGAATAAGTCTATACATCAAAGAAGGTGATGCCCTGTTACTAACTAGAATATCTTTAGTTTTCTATTAAGGTTTTAGTTGTTTTTTTTTAAGTCAATCAGATGGGACTGAGAAGCTAGTTGAGTGATTTGGATAATAACTCACTAGATGAGCTTTCAGGGTGTATCTTCCTGAAACAAGCTATTGAAAGGGTTACACTATGGTCCTAACATCTTTAAACTGAATTTGCAATAGGACTCTTTTATGCTTACGTTTACATTACATTTTGAAATTACACTTACATTTTGAAAATCAAAAGTATCTTTTCCATCATTTTTTTTGACTGGAAACGAGGCTTCAAAATATCGAAAGATGAAAACAGTGACCAGAATTCACTTAAATGTAAGGGTGCCGAGGCTGAGCTTGGTGACATAAGCCTGTAGTCCTAGCTCTCCAGAAACGAGAGCCAGGAGAGCTGAAAATTCAGGGCCAGCCTGACCTAACCAGTCACTGTCTCAAAAACAGTGCCCTGTGGATCTCTGTGAGTTTGAGGACAGCCTGGTCTACAAGAGCTAGTTCCAGGACAGGCTCCAAAGCTACAGAGAAACCCTGCCTCGAAAAACAAAACAAAACAGTGCCCTGAAGTATAATAATTGCCCATCCTTCAATCTGGTCAGTTTCAAAAAACATTAAAATTGCCACTTTACATATAACTAAACACATTACTTTTTAACGTGAGAAATTCCTGATAAATGCTTCTCAATTTTGCCAGACATGTTTATACTCAGTCATTCTGAGACATCTCATTTCAGAGAAAGAAAAGTAGTCTTTTCTCTAATGATTTAAAAACATATGAAACTTGGCCCTATGAATACGTGCAGATGCTGGAAACTCTGGTGACCTCCGTGATACGGGGACTTCTTTCTGTGACACGAAAGCCTAATTCCTCCAAAGTGGAAGTGAGAGAGATGTGATCTCACTATGGAAACAGGAAGAGGGAAGTCTTCAATTTAGGCAAAAAAAAAAAAAAAAAAAAAAGAATCATTTGACTTTGAAATAAAGATTACTGCCTATTATAGGATTCATTTTATGGGTTATTGTAATTTTTTCATATGAAATTGAGTGATAACCCATGAACATATTAGGACTGTTTGTAAACGGCTATCTACAAAGGTGTGTTTCCAGTGGGATATGTATCAGTCTCTCTTTCAGCCTATTAGAAAAAAAGAGAAGACATCAAGACAAGGTGCTTTTGTTGTGGCCATGGCCCTCACAAGTGCAAACTGTCCGCTCCGGTTAGACTTGGGACGGTAAGTGTCCTCTAGCGACTGTGTAGTATGAGCCCTCAGGACTTCTACGTACCAAACGCGCGTGCTGCCCTTTTGAATTCTCTTTCCTCGGGACACGAACCATGCCGCTTACCTTTCCACAAAAATGCCAGCCTGAACCGCGTGGACGATGCTTCGAAACTTGGGTTTTTCCTCAGGTTTCTTCTTGATCACCCCCATTTTCCGCGTGAAGGTGGAAGCCAGCCAGTCCCGGACTTCCGATGGGACTGAGTCAATCTGAATGTCGCTGAGCTCATCTTCGGGGTCAAGAAGTCTTCTACAAACACACGCAGAGGTAAACACTGGGAAAGGGGAGCAGAGACTAACAAGGAAACATGCATCGCAATGTTTTCACTCTCTTTTTTAACGGTACGGCATTCTCTGTTCCTTAACGTGAATTGTTTAAAAGAACTGAGTTAACATTTGGGAAGCTACCGAGTTTTCAAGTAGATCCCTTGCTGGAGGCATCAAATGGTACATGATAGCATCTGCTGCTCCCCAAATACTGAAGGACAGTATTAACAGTGGTTTGTTAGTCTCATTAATATGCCATTCTAGTGGTGATTGAAACAGAGAAACACATGAAGGAAAATTCGTAAGTGTGTGTTACTGAGAAAGCAAGCAGAACGGGAAGAAAGAGGTTGAGGTTATGACAACTCCCATTTAATTCTTCTGCGTAGCTCAGTCAGCAAGTGCTATTTGAATTTTTTGATGCTTCCAAAAGTTTTGCAAACATGCTGTTTCACTGAATAAGATCTTCTAAATTAATGAAATAACTTAATTCTAAAATAGCTGAGCGATGGTGGCACATGCCTTTAATCCCAGCACTTCGGGAGGCAGGGGCAGGCAAATCTCTGTGAGTTCAAAGCCAGCCTGGTCTACAAGAGCTAGTTCCAGGACAGCCAGGGCTGTTAAGCAGAGAAATCCTATCTCAGGAAAGAAAAAAAAATTCTAAAATAATCTTTCCAACAATATATTTACAGATTAAAAACTGTAAAAACAAGGTCAGCGAGATGGCTCAGCAGGTAAAGGACTTGCCATGAAGACCTGAAGACCCAAGTGCAGCCCCCAGAACCCATCGGAAAGAGAAAACAGACTCCTGAAAATTGTCATGAGACTGACCTTCATGTGTGTATTGTAGCATCCACGCACGTGCACACACACACACACACACACACACACACACACACACACACATCATATACATTCATCTGAGCAATAATAAACCAAACTGCAAAATAAAGAAAAATGGTTGGAGTTCTCTCTTAGTATCTCCGTGGGAATTAAGGCTGCTCTCTGTCCCCTAGGATGCCCGGATCCTCATATGCTCATGTCCCATTCATAAAATAATCAGCCACTTTGCATATAAACTATGCGCTCTCTCATGATTACCTTGAATAAGTTCTCCATTTCATATAATACTTAATAAAATGTACATGCCCCCTTCTCTACACACACACACACACACACATACACACACATGCACACACATACACATACACACACACATACACACACATACACACACATACACACACACACACATACACACACATACACACACACACATACACACACATACACACACATACACACACACACACACACGTGTTATTTAGGGGAGAATAAAGAAAAAAGATTGCACACATTCAGTCCAGATGCAATCTCTTTTTCTGAATACTTTTAATCTGAGTTGTTTAACCCAGTGCTATGGTGTGCAAGGATGCCAAGGGCTCTGTTGAAAGCTCATTTCAGGATTCTAGCCTCTAAGCGGGTGGATCACGGCCAGTCAAGACCCAATTTTAACATCAGGGTGAAGATTCACAGGTTTGGACCCAAGTGTTGCAGTACTCCAGACAGAAGGCTCCTGATGGCAAGGCTGAGGCCAACCTGGACCAGCTGGAGACGAAATCTTGTCTCTACAAAATCAAAACAACACAGGGGACTGCCACCCCAGTATATCAACAGAGTTTTAAGGAGACAGTGTAAATTGAGTTCTGGGAAGTGGCATGGACTGGTTCATAAGAAGCCCCGTAGCTGCCACAGAGGAGGGAGCTGAGGAAACATCCTGACTGAAAGCCCGGCAGAGTAAGTAATTGAGAGCTTACTAAGACCTCGAACTGGAAATAATAAAGAAAGTTTTCCCACTTGATGGAAACTGAGCTACATAGACTGGACTCCTTCGTCCACAGAACACAAAGTAGCTTCGTCTTCTTGACAGGGCAGCAGATCAATAACCAGATATGCTTGGCACAGCTTATCTCTGACCTTACCCTCTGTAAATCAGCACGATCCTTTAAATGGCCCCCCTCTGTGTGTTGTTTCCTTCTGCACACGTACACAATATTTATTTTTCATGATGTTCATAAATACAAATGCATTTATGAAATAGTAAAAGTGAACACGACTTACGCGCTAGTTACAAAACTACACGTACCTATAAGACAAAAGACATACAGTAGAATATTCATGCTGATCAATACTCACTTGGTGATTTTTTTCAGCTTATTTTGCTTCTTGTGCTTGAAGGAGTTTGATTTAGTGCTAGACCACTGACACTGTAATTCAAAGTAAATTTTTTTTACGGCTTTTTTGCCCATTTCAAGCCAGATTCCTTAGCCCATTTTAGCATGATAGTTTGATCCATGCCTTGAAATTTTCATTACTTGAAGACTATGCCATTTCTACTATCTCTTATGCAGTGATCAGCCAAGGGTACAGAGCAGGGGCCGCGGAACAGGAACCATTGTGCTGTAATCACATGATGTCACCGTTCTTCACATTCTCGCCTCCCAGTTCTTACCAGAGGCCGGAAACAGAACACCAGCTGCATAGTAACCACTGCCCAGCTTTTCCACCACAAACTTGTGTTGGGGACTGGAAGGCTGCATATTCTAAACTCACAAACTGCCCAAGGCAGGTGACTAAACAAGACAAACGGGTGGGGTGACGTAATAAGTGTCACTGGGGTGTGTTTCTCGGAAGTCTGGCCATTTGTAGTTACGGTGCATGCGAATCTTCGTTGAGAAAGAGCATGTGATTTCAGGGGAAAGAATGATCTTTATTTATTACAGAATAAAGGAATAAAGAAAGGGAACGTCAAAAGAGAAAAGCAGGGAATCCACCATTGTCTACCAAAAAGGCACATCTTAAAATAGCAACAGATACTTCTCCAGGGGTCCAGTTGAGATAAGACAATGCAGGGTAGGAGGCCTAGCAGTATGTTTAAATGATGAGCTAGATGTTTCTATGAAAGTCTGCTTTTTTAACATGAAGATGGAGCAGAGTACCCTTCAAAACATGCATAGGCCTCATCAAATCAGATGAAGACCTTAAAGAAAAAGATGGAATTACCTTAAGGAGAAAACTCTGAGTTGGGATAACACCGAGATTCAAGACTACATTAATTCTCTATAATTTTCAACTTGTTAGGCTGCCTTGCTGATGGTCAGTTAGCTTCTCTGCCTCTCCACTGTATAAGCAGTGTGGAGTAACTACCTGGGTAAATTAGTCAGACACACAGTAAGGGCTTGGCCCTATATTGATTTCTGAGAGCATATTGTTTCTTTATCTGCTTTTAATATATAAATAAAATCCTATCTAAATTAGACATTTAAACACCATATTCTTGAGACATATTAACATTATTGTTAGCCTATAAAATGATAAAAAACTGAAAACTTCTGGGAATGATTTTGCAAAACTTTAATCCCAGCACTCAGGAGACAAGGGCAGGTGGATCTATGTGAGTTCAAGGCCAGCCTGCTCTACAGAGTGAGTTTCAGGTAAAGCAGAGCCATATAGAAAGATCTTATCTCAAAAGAACTTTTTTTTTTTTTTTGAAAATGCAGCATGGTCCTTCTTTGTAAGAGATAGCAAGGAGATTGCTACGACAGGAAACACTGCTACTGCTTTGGATCCAGTCATCAGGAGTTGCGTCATTTAAGACCCAAAGAAAGAAAAACAATTAAAGGTTGTAAAATCTAAGAAAAAGTCATTCTACACAGATGGAAGAGCAAATGCAAATCCCCTGAGGAAGGCAGGATAAGAGAAATATTTGAGAACAGAGAGACAGCCAAAGGTGACAAACGGGCACCAGAAGAAGCCGGTGGAAATTCCAGGAAGGGCTGACAAATACCTTCCTGTCTCTCCCCTATGGTTCTTCAACCCTGCCAACACAACCCCCCTTTTCTTCTTTATCCGACCAGCCTGTTCCTTTCCATCTTTATCGTTGTCGTCAGAGAGCATTCACGTCAGTAAACATTCAGAATCCTGGAGGAGAGGGAAGCACAAAGACGAAGACTATAGTGGAGTAAAACAGGAAGGCCTTGCATGCTGGGGTCAGGGGTCATACACAAATACAGCCGACAGCATCTGCTTCTCACTCCCAGCTTTCTTCATCCTGTGTCTTCTCTCTTCTTGTAATCTCCCTGGTATTCACTTCCCCTTAGCACCACTCAGGGTAATTTGATATTTATCTGATCAATCATAATATGATATGGACTAACATCATTGGACTCTTGTAGACAGAGAGTTATCATAAACACTTCAGATGTGGAAATATCTGAATATTTGCAACACTTCAGATGTGGAAATATCTGAATATTTGCAGAAGGTTATGTCACCAGAAACACAACACCTGGTACTTTGTTTTCCTTTCATTCTCTTCACCTCTTGCATAAATTTGTACAAAGAGAGGTTGTTAAAATGGGTTTCCAAATTTTATATAATTTAGTTTGGTCCAAGTATCAATGGTTTGATTGTCCTTTATCTTACCGTTAGAAGGCACTGTGAACATAAATATTTGCCCCGTGAGTGTTGTAAAGAAGCAAGTCTTCCTATTTTAGAAGCAGGCAGTGTGAAAATTTAACTATTGGTGTATTTTCCTTACGAATCCACAAAGTGTGCTATACAGGAAAGAAACGATAAGGCACATACATGTAACATGCTACCACTGTTGACCTCTAAAAAATGTTTCACTCTTTGACATGATGGTTTTAGTCCCAACGAGAGTTAGCAAAGATTAAAGAGAGATTCTCAGACAAGGGCTGTGTGTGGAAAGGGGACTGGAGAACTGAGAAAAACTGACCTTGCATCCGATCAGTGATCAAGTGAGTCTTTGGAGCTATTTATAGGCCAAAATTTCTCTCCAAATAAGATGACACATCTCCCAAAGGACTTATAATTTGGACTAGAAAGTTTGCGGGGAAAGGGGAATAAAGGAGGAGGCAGCCTCGGAAGGAGAGGTCATGGGATTTTGACTCTTAAAATTGTGTGTCAGTGAAAATATTTCTGTCTGCAGTGGACTCTTGGAAAACAGGCACACCCAGGGAGCCACAGCCCTTTCCAGGAAGTTGGTGGCCTGGGTTAAACTTAAATATTACAATTCAAATGCTGGGTGTGATTGGGAGAGTGGCCTTTTATCTACCATGCCATTTATGTGAAAAAACATTTAGTTCAAGAAGTAATTAACTCATCCATTTTATCCCTAATGTCTGGTGAACACAGAGCAGGAACACATTTCTCTACAGGAGACAGAATCAACATTTTGATATTATTTCTCTGGCGAACAAACTATGTGCCCTATGCTTCAGTTTTACAATATTTAAAAGGCTTATTGAAAGTTAAGATGTGAAGTGTCAACTAGCTCTTTGTATGATACGACTGGACCTGGCTGCGGCTGCCTTGCTGCCGCTGCCCCCCACCCCACCCCACCCCCCGGTCCTGCTCAGGTCCTCAGTTTCTAGGTCTCACCTTCTAGTCAGATGCTCAGCACCCCACCCCAGTGTGATTTCTACCCACCTGCTGGCTCTCAAAAGCAGTTGATTCTTGGATCCTCTTAGGGAGGAGAGGTGCAGGTTCCGATAATGAGTACATCAAACACTGTAGTGTTTAAGAGCAAGGATATGAAAGGGAAAATAATGGCTTGGAATTCTGTACATGGAGGATTTAGAGAAATGAGATCACAACATACTTCAGAGTAACATGTTGAACATGACAGCAGAGTCCAGCACCCTAGCACCCGTGAAAGGCAGAAGGAAACTGATCCCAAACATGCTCTAGTATGAAGACGTGCCACCTCTAGGGAGGGATAGGCAAAGATTACCATTGACCAGGAAGTAGAAGTCAATGTTCAGGGAGACAGAACTGAGGCTGATGCTGAATTCACCTCTTCCACGTGATGCCCTTTTTTGGATGCTTGAGATATAGGATAAGAGAACCTCACCTGTCTATCATAGACAACATCTTTTGTAGTCAGTGTTTCTCTCAC